ATCCATCCATCCATCCATCCATCCATCCATCCATCCATCCATCCATCCATCCATCCATCCATCCATCCATCCATCCATCCATCCATAGCTGCCAGAAATTAATTGCAAAGGTTTGTAGAACTTTAGAAAAAGAATCTTAGATGGTTGAAATGATGGTAGGCTCTTGATGTGTTTTTTTATCCAGGCCAATTTAGCTACTCCCACCTACTGCTTTGTTCCTCCACGTCACCCAAAAAGCAAAGATCAAAAGGGGTTGCAGGATAAAATAGATTTGACCTACAATACACAGCATTTACATGTGTATAAATATCCCCTAGCTTTACTCCCACATGGCACTGAACTTTGTATTGTGATTTCCATGCAGGCCCACTATGAAATCTCTGTACACCTATAAATGCTTGCATTTTCAACTGCGTTTTTTTTTTTTTTTTTTTTTGTACCACATCACACTCTTTCCAGAACTCTACATTACCCAGCTCATGTTAGTTGTTCATCTTATAGGCCTTGTAAGTCAAGAGGGAAAGCTGAACGCAGAAAAATATTTCCAAAATGCTCTGAAAATTGCCAAACAGCAAACAAAGTGTAGAGGTTACCCAGCTGACATTCCTGGCCACTGAGAGCAGAAATCTGCTGCTGGAAAGAATAATCGTCCTCTGAGGGAGCAGAGATCAGTAGCAGCCTCCGCTTGGACATAAACCTTGAAAATAAAATTGATTATCTAATTATATTACATAGATATTCCTAGTGATATACATTATGCAAAATATATTTTACACCTGCAAACAAATAAAGTTCAAGGAAACTTACAAATACTGTTTTATTTTGTATGCCTGAATTGCTACCTGAGCAGAGAGTTCTCAACCACCGGTGCTTTTGTGTCTTTGGAGCACACTGGAGGCCTTTTCCTTTCTTTCTCTTTCTCCGAGTTCCTGGAGGGAAAGTTGTCGATGTACTCAAACAGAGCTGTGCTAGACGGTGGAGCCTCAAAGACTCTCTAAAGCACAGATGGAGGCAAGTTAAAGAAAGTTAAAGGATAGTTAATGAACAGAAAGTCCTGATTAGTACATTTGAATTCGCAATATTACTGTGAACAGATGCAAAAACCCAAAGCAACAGAAAGAAAAAAACAACAACTCAGAAATACTACTCTACATGTGAGGTAATTTTTACAAAATATAATGCCAAAGATCCCATGGTTGATTCCTGCTTTTGTCTTTGAAACTCAAATAAAATGCCCAATTGATTAGAGCGATGTTAAGATTTGTGACGATTAGCATCCTTACTGACAAACAGGAAAGCAATAAGTTGAGTAGGGTTAATTGAGATTCACCTACATTGGGTTTGATGTCGTAATCTGTGACGGTCATTGAGAAGAGGTCAGAGGAAGACAGGCCAAGCTCTGCTCTTAACAGAGGGATCAGGCGTGAGTCCAAGACTTGCTCCAATTGATCCCTGTGGGGAGGCTCAGACTCTGAAACACACAAAGGTAAGACAAAAATTTCACAGTGAAACAAAAAAGCAAAGTATTCCAAATACAAACAATTAAAACTTCACATTTAAACTGTCTTCAAACTGAACTTCATAGTTGCAGGTATCTATCCTTAAGTTTAGGAGTTCTTCTGAAAATCTTTTCTAATGAAATTACAATTTTGAATATTAGCAAGCATTCAAAAAGAGGATATAAATGTGACTGTTGCTTTTTGTTATGAGATTTTGTAATTATTTAAGTGAATAAAGAAGTTAGTCAGATTTAAGGAAAACTAAATCTAAATATGATACACTGGCTAGGGAAAATAATATTGGAGCAACATTAAAAAAAAAAAAAAAAAAAAAAAACTGATTTGCTTAGTTACTCTTATCTCAAAGGCCGTCCTAGGTACCAAAAAACATTAATATATATCATAAGTGTTTTCATAAAATAACAAAGTAGGTAGGACAGGTACAGTTGTAAAGGGGACGGTTTTCTCCAATCAGAAACAAGGTACAGTAGTAATAACAGTCATATTGCAAATAGAAAATTTAATGATGTTCCCTCACAGGGAAAAAGAAAGCAGATACAGCTGCTCCAGAATTTATTAGAGAAAAACTGATGTTTGAGTATTAAAGTATTTTTTGTTTTGTGCTTTGTTGTTATTGCTTTTGCAATTTAGCTCAGACATTAGCTTAGTTTATATGGTTAGCATGTATCAAGATTCCATTGGCCGGCTGGCCTATGAGGTTATCTTTGCTGACAGGAATGGGGACAGATGCTACAGCTGTTGGTATGGGGAATGTTGGTATTCCATAAAAATATTTTTCTTTCCTGTGATACAGCACAGACAGAGAGCTACATTTTGCTCTGGAAATGACCTGAAATAATATACCCTGTTAGTAGTCTGTTAAAATAAAACAGACCTCGTAACAGTATTTTTCTAATTTGGTTAACAGTTCTTTTTCTCTGTATAATACAGGTTAGAGCAGGAAAAGGAGAGTTATGTAGTTTGACATGCAGCCATTTGTCTGTATCCATGTCTTACTGAATGAATAGATTAACTATATAAAAATACACTTTTGAATATACCAAAGTAGATAAATGTAAATGCAGTATATTTATATAATATAGTTGCATTTTCTACAGTTTTGGTTTTCCATAGTGAGTTTTGATGCACAGCTCATTGAAAGTTGACAAAATACAATGTTATTGGCTATCAGATTATTTAATTCTTCATATGTCACTAAAGCCTATTGTATTTTTAGCAATGTGAATCCCTCACATTTGTGTACAAGGCCAATTAATCTAGGAAAATATATAATTGGCATTTACTCAAATTGATAAATAACACTATATTATTATAGCATTCATCAAATGTGTAAAATGAACTGTATTTTTAATAGGATGCAGCTATACCAAACAATGGTGAAACTTTTTTCTGGGTTCAGGGTTAGACACAAAAACTAACTCTTTGGATTTAGATTCAAATTGTCAATTTTAAAAACACTGCTTGTTTAGCTTTAAACAACTGTTACTGTAAACAGATAGATTTAGGTTTATTGAATGTAAAATTTGTTTTGTCTTTTCCAAACCATCTCTAAGTAAAAGAGTCAAATGCATAAAGTTATGCAGCTGTCTCCCATACTGATGTGTCTCAGAATGTGTATTAAATGTTTGAGTTGAATTCATTAAACACAGAGAGGACTGTGACCTACTGCCATATTTCCAAAGACTTCTGATGCTGTGCACAAGACAGGGAATCCACTGCCTTATGACTGAGTATGAAAATAAGCAATACTAACTCCATTCATCCTCTTTAGACACAGCTTTTATCTGCACGTTTGTTGCATCCCTGAGGCTATGTCCACCTCAGTCAGCAATGAGTCATGCATGCAGTCATGCATTAAGCATTTTCTTGAGATTTATGCCAACATTATGTATAAAGAATCTTCATTTTTAAATTAAACTTAGCTTTTTGAGTCAGTTTGAGAAACTGTTTTGGCCAAAGCCTTTTCAGTAATTCATATGTTATCTGGATAAACTGTTTATCTGAATATTCTACCAGCAAGCTGCAATTTTTTTTTTTAACTCCAAAGTTGCGCAGCCTCTTTAGTTATTTTTTTCAACATTGTATTTTAAAGACCCCAGAACAGTTTCTACATACACTCTTTATTAAGGTACGGCTGAAATGAACTGTCAGAATTCCTTCTTGTCATCCATTTCTAAAAATATTTAACACCCACCTATTGGCTGCAGTTATTAATGAAAACGTTTCTTCATATGTTTGAAGTATATTGAGACAACCTGAGAAAATTCATCTTAAGAACTATGAAAAATGATTTAGATAAAAAAAATACATATATTGAAAATAATTATGTATTTTAGACTTTCTACCGAGCAGCTGGTGCTGCACAGAGATGGTAGAGTCACTTCCTTCTCCAACCATAGTTGCCACTGTTATCTTCCTCATGCCCAGTTCACAGAGGTGTTTCTTATTCTCCTCAGTCTGCTGAATGTACAGAGCTGTATCTCTGCTGGGTGTCGAGATGAGCTTTTTTGAAAAAAGGAGGACAACTTGTCAACAGAAGAAATGGAAGCTTAAAAGTTTAGGGTAAAAAAAAAAATTACATTTGAGGAAAATAGTTCTCACCATTAATCTTCTGGACCCTCTAATTCCATCCAAAAATGTCTTCAGAGCTGCTTTATCCTCTTCACTTACTGCTCTGTTTGACTTTTTTCCTTTTCTTTTCTTTCCTTTATTCCCTTTACCCTTCTTCTTATTGCTGCCTTTACTCTCTTTGTTAGCCTTTATATTTGATTCTTCTTTATTTTTGGAGTTTTGCCGTTCAGTTGTTTTCTTTTCTTCATCTGTAGAAGAGGGACCCCTGTAATGAAAGAGAAACTTTCTACCTTTTCTGATTAAACCTTGAAATATTATATTTATTTTAAAAAAAGGGAGTGGCGGCCTAGTGGTTAGGGCATAGAGCTTGAATCCTGAGGTTCTGAGTCCGATCCCCACTCCCACAGGCTGCCACTCCCTGGGCGCCCCACAATGGCAGCCCACTGTTCCCCAAGGGGATGGGTTAAATGCAGAGGTAAATTTCTCCAATGTGAGATCAATAAAGTTCAATTATTATTAATTTACAGTACCTGTTTTTCTTTGCTTTCTCCTCACTTTTTGAAACAGACTGGCCTCCACTTGACACTTTGGTGGTTTCCCAATCATTATTACTGTCCGAGGTCTTCTGTATTGTCGATCCGCCAGGCTTCTTACGAATAACAAATCGTGACTTGCCATTCAGTATGTCTTGGATCTTACTCATTAGTACAGCTTTTTTGTCCAAGTGTTGCCTTTGAGAAATCACAACCGAGGTCACATTTCCTGCCCTATGAGGGCTCAGCATGTTCTTCTTTATCAGCTTTTTCCTTTTCACCACAACCTTCTTTTTTTTTGTTTTACACCTGCAACACAATCATACATAAAGCTATAGAATTAGTGTACTATGTCACAAATGACTAAAACCTCAATTGAAACAAACTTATAAAATCATATTATTTTTTAGAGTGAATAAAAATCTGGGCTCCTGCAAAAATTAATTATGGGGCTATTATTCATATCATTATATGAATATAAAATGAATAAATAAAAAGATGTGTCCATCATTACTTAACTGTTTGAATTGTTAATTTATTAAAAGCTCTGTACCAAAGGTTCTCAGTGCTCACTGTCCTGCATGTTTTAAATGTCTCTCCAGCTCCCTAGAATCAATGATTGTGCTACTCCTCAGTAGATATCAAAGGCCACAGACGCCTGTATTTTAATTACAGGTTTATTTAAGTCAGGTGTTTGGTGATAGTGAAATAAATAAAACATGTAGGATGTAGGGATCTGGGTTTGTTTCTAATATTACTCGATTAATAATGACTGTCATAAAATTGTAGCCCTCTTGGTCATGATTTAACCATTTAAAACTCAATATTCCTAAAAGCCTCTATTTCTATAAAGCGCAATTAAGGCAATGTCATTCTTTTTAAAGTTGTGGTTGGCGGGATTGCCTTGTTTGTGATTTTACTATGCAAACAAATGTTAATCGCTTGAAGAAACAGGGTCATAAAGCCAATCCAAATAGTTTGGATTAACATGGGATCATCACATTTATAGCAACTGGTCCAGAACCAGACCAGAAACTTTATGAAATATCCACATTTTAGTGTTCTGCAAGAGTAAGCATATTTATGGATATTTTCTTTTGGTTAATTAATTTCACAAACTTGAGATCTCATGTGAAGGCTAAAAACAATAAGTAGCTCTGTTTGTCAGATTTTATATGTCTGATTTAAAAAAATGTCATGACCTTTTTATTTTCTGTATAAATCTGTGTAGAACAGTAACAAAACCTTAAGTTGGATCCTTTTCTGGTCATCTTCTCCAGTTTTCTCATTGGAAACTGATCAATGAGCTCCAAAATTGCCTCAACACGGACCGGATACGGAAAACGCTCGCTGATGCCAAGGTTCTTCTTCATGACCAGCATGGAGAAGGCTTGCTCCTGAGACAATAAGCACAGTTTAGAAGAAGCTAGAAGCAGGTTAGATTGGTACAAAGATAAAAAAAGCTGAAAGAAAGTCAGTCGGCAGACAGTTTTACTTGACTGGAAAGCTCTAGGTAATGAAGCAGTTTGGTAATTGTGTCGGGATCCAGGTTCTCCACTGTGGCATCTCCTTGAAAAGTTGTTTTCTGAATACGACCCTCCATCATTGCATTCTGGATGATGATTAAGATGAAAGTGTCTCTTTCAGCTAACCGGCAGTTCAGTTCTTTCTGAAAAAGACAGAGAAGAAAAACTAAAACATAACAAAAGAGTGAAAAAGTTAAATGTCTGATTATTGTTTTCATTAAAAAAAATTTCTTTTTAAATAATTTTTTTAGACAGTTAAACTGGCCTCGTTCAGTAGTTCTTGAAGTTATACATACAAGGTCTTTCTTTTGAGGTTTGCTTTACTGTCATTTCCTCTCTGGTATCTTACAATTACATATGATGAGCAGGTGGTTCTAAAGAAATGTGGATTGTTGGAGGGCTAAAGTAGATGTGCCAGACCTTAACAAACAAACTGAAGGTAAAACAGACCACATCTTGGTATTATGTCTGCAAAAAAAACAGGAAACACCTTACACAGAGGCTTTAGAAATCCATTGTTCTGTGGTTGACTATGGTATCTAATGTAGTTCAGCTAATAACTCCTTAAGATATACATTGTTGTGTTTAATGGATGAATAAACACAGTAAATAAAGTGTACTTTATTTCAATCAAAGATTCACCTTCCAACAAGACAATGACCCTAAGCACACAGCTAAAATAACAAAGCAGTTGCTTGGAAACAACTCTGGGACCATTCTTGACTGGCCCAGCCAGAGCCCTGACCTAAACCCAATTGAGCATCTCAAGAGAGATCTGAAAATGGTGGTCCACCAACGCTCACCATCCAACCTGACAGAACTGGAGAGGATCTGCAAGGAAGAATAGCAGAGGGTCCCCAAATCCAGGTGTGAAAAACTTAATGCATCAAGAATGGCTCATGGCATTATTAGCTCAAGAAGGTGCTTCTACTCAACTGAGCAAAGGGTCTAAATACTTATCACCATGTGATATTTCAGTTTTTCTTTTTTAATAAATTTGCTATAATTTCTACATTACATCTATTTTTCTGTCAAGATGGGGTGCTGAGTAAACATTAAAGAGAAACAGAATGAACTTTATGAATTTTAGCAAATGGCTGCAATGAAACTAAGAGTGTTTAAAAGGGTCTGAATACTTTTCACCCTATATATATGTATATATATATATATATATATATATATATATATATATATATATATATATATATATNATGGTGGTCCACCAACGCTCACCATCCAACCTGACAGAACTGGAGAGGATCTGCAAGGAAGAATAGCAGAGGGTCCCCAAATCCAGGTGTGAAAACTTAATGCATCATTCCCAAGACGAATGGCTCATGGCATCAATAGGGTGCTTCTACTCAATACTGAGCAAAGGGTCTGGATACTTATCACAATGTGATTTTTCAGTTTTTCTTTTTTAATAAATTTGCAATAATTTCTACATTACATCTATTTTTTTCTGTCAAGATGGGGTGCTGAGAAAACATTAAAGAGAAACAGAATTTCTACTATGACAAATAATAATAATTAGTTTGACGAACTAAAATCTTTAGTTGTTCCCCAAAAAATATTAACTTATAAATGTTCTAACAAGACTACCCAAGTCTGCTCAAATGCTGCTGAGGACCAGCAGTGGTAATTGTTCCACAGTGCTGTTATGCATATATTGGAACAGTACCTGATCCATGTCTTCGAGCTGTTTCTCCATCATCCGTAAGTAGTTATCATTATGTGATGGAGCAGTTATCACCCACAGTCTCTTCTTACCTGTAGATGACATTGGAGTTGAATAAGGAGTAAGTAGCCAAACGGATACATATCGATCAGTCAACTTCTCCTGCCTGCGAAGTCAGCCAGGAAATCCAGCTCGGGAGACAAGTTGGATGACGGCTCTCTCACTCCTCTGTTGTCTTCATTTTCTCTGTCCTCTTCCAGTCCAAGTCCATGTTCCATTCCAGTGGGAACATCTGAGTAATCTCCCCAGTCTCTCACATTTGGGTCCAAATCAGCCTTTGGCTTACTTCTTGGAATGCCTGGCCAGGCAGTAATCAGACTTGTGCAGCTGAGGCTCCACATGAGAACTAACAACACCAGGTGCTTTGAGGTAGAGAAATGTAGCATCCTTACTGACATGGTTGAGCTTGCAGATGCGTCTGAACACTGATGCTAACCATAGAATCTCATCTGGGATAGAAATCCTCCGTTCTTAAGTTGTTTGCACCACCGCTCACTCTAGAAAAGCAGAGATGCATCCACAGCAAAGTAGAGGAACCTCCCAGCCATATGAATTATCTAAAAAAAAAAATTAAATAAATAACATTCTGTTTTTCTGAGTCGCAGTCTTCAAAGCTTCTTTAGGAATTTCCGAATGATGCATAATGAACAACAACAAAAAAGGCAAACCAAATGTGAAATCTGGAAAGTAGAAGGACGGCAAAGACGGCTGTGATTCTAACTCTCCTCACCAGCCAAGAAACTGACTCTCATCCAAAGACACACTCCTGGTTCGCATTACAGCCCAGCCCTGTTAACAGGAAACTCCTGGAATTTTCTGCAGCTTCAAAGACTTTCTTCAGAGAAGAAAAGAAGAACTCATCCCCCTTTCTCCCACTCTCTGCTATATTTAAGCATGCACACACATTCTCTAGGTTTGCAGAAGACACTTTTATTTATTTTAAATCCAATAATACAGGCAAATAGACGTTCAGACAGACTCAGACAGATGTTCCACTTAATCTGCAAATTCACACTCACCAAGTCAAACATGTTTTTGTTATATAACTTCATTCAAAAAGTTGGTTAGAGGGAGGGTAAATAGCCTACAATGGATTGTTTAAAAAAGGTATAACTTATTTTGCAAAGCCAAGTGATACAAAAGGGTAATATGATGTGTTTAGCAAAATAAATTCTGAATAAAGAAAAATTACACACTGATTTTTTTGTATTAGAGATAAATGCACAGCAGGACTACAGCTTCTAAAACAGACTGTGTAAAGCTGTTGGTTGTATGAGGCTCCACACAAAATTTAAGGTAGGACCTACCTCCAGTTAAGCCAGCTATCACAGCTCAATAAACTCCCTTTGAAATTCTCTATAGTTGATCATGTTTGCATTCTACAGTTAAAAGGAATTAAAGTCAGCCAGTAAGCCAACAATCTAAAAAACGGACCTCACAAAATCCTCACCTTTGTGTTTTTGCTCACGCAGCCATTGAGTCAACTCACAGATAGAGAGATAATTTTAGGTAGTAGTTAATATTATTTAACTAGCATAGTACTGTAGTTCAGAAAAGGAGAGCTTAGAGTATAACGTGGGGGGCCTGCTATAGGATGAACATTTTCCAGACAGGATTGCCGTCTATTTATTTCATATTATATTAGTTAATAATAAAATCTAAAATATTTTACTCTTATCTGTAAATTATTTTTTCTAACTTGGAATGTTTTTCAAAAATATTATATTGTGCAACTTCATATCCATACAACTGCTGTAAACACTTACCATTATATGCTGTCTTAAAACTTGTTGCACTAGTTTGTCTAGAAAATTAAAAAGGTATATTTATGCTACAAATTTCAGTCATCTATTATTTGTTGCCTTCCAATCACAGCTTGTATGTGAGTGTAACCTTGTAGGATAAATTTCTATGATTTTCAGCTTTTTACATGTGTAGAAAGGAATGTGTATTCAAAGAAATATCATGGTAAATATGTCTATTGACTAATTTGGAGTTGAGTTGCTGAAGGTGGTTGCACACTGGAGTACTTCTGCTTTGTAAATGTGCAAGATAAATCTCTCTCTCTCTCTCTCTCTCTCTGGTATTTAAAAGAGCAGCAAACAAAACATGCATGGACCAAAATATCTTTGAGTGACAACCTTTGGACGTAAAGGTAACACGTTTTAAATGAACTGAGAACATTTTGTAAACATAAGCTATCTTGTGGCTGCTATTGAGATCAGAGTGTCTAAATCTATTCGTATTCTACAGTCTCTAAATTAAAAAAAGCAAGAAAAGTCAGTATGTTTAGAGGAGCTATCGGTGTGTGAAATGTTAGAATAAAAAGCAACAAAGGCGACTATATGCATTCCTTCCTTTGAGCCTGATAAAGAGAACCAGATGACAAGTATGTGTAAGTAAAAGAGGCTACAATTCTACTGTATTTATATTAAGTTTTAAATGTTACCTAAACTCAAACTGAAATGAATGTATACTTTATATAAACAAATTGAACCACCATTATTTTTGCATGCAAGCAAAAAGACTGCAGCACATAGAAAACAGACAGAAAAAAAACAACAGCATTAGCTCAGAAATACTTCTGAACACAATTCATATGAAAAGAAAGATATCAAGAAATATTACCATATTGCATATGTTATATATAAAAGAATAAAATACATTTCATGTAAAATAGACTTGAAATAGTAATATACCCAAAAGAAAAAAATACATAGGTATCCATTTTTTAAGCCCTCTGTTTGACAGGTTACTCTTACTTATTTTAACATTTATAGGAATTTCTGAAATATGTGACACAAAACAAACAAAAAAGAAAAGAAGATTTTTAAAACTCTTTCGAATCTCGTGTTGTATTTTTATTAAGTAGTGTAATATTTGTATTTACAATGTATTCAGTGAATGAACACAACTTGGTTAAATTTATCTTTATCCCTCATCTTCTCTAACCTGACAACAGCCAGATGCATGTCTCGCTCCGCCTACTGTAGCTCCACTCACATGGAGCTGGGCGGAGCGAGACATGCATCTGGCTGTTGTCAGGTTACATCTTCTCATAAACCCACAGCAGAAAACGCAGAACGCATCCTGATGGCAACCAATGCTGTCAATGAAAGAGCGACACCCAGTGGCAGAGTTCGGACTTGCACCCTTAGAGACCTAAATTATTTTATTTTTTTTGTTTTTACTTCTGTAGTAATTTCAAGTTTCTTTATAGTCAAATAATGATGTGTAACTATGTAATTTGGCTTTAAGGAACAAAAAATGCTCAAATTTTTCTTCAGGCTTGTGTTACTTTGCTTTATAACATTTACGTATAATCATTACTCAAAAAGGTAATGCCGCTTATATTAGCATCTTCCGATAAATTGAATAATCGATAAAAAAATAAATATTAAACTGCTGTATAGGAATGTTTTTTTAAATATATAAATAATCGATATTTTGTCTGAGCCTCGTCACTGACCGCGATGCCAACGCATCAAATGTTTCTCTTCGGACTCAGTTCAGCGGCGGACTGCTTCCGGGTCGACGCAAAGTCGGCTGTGCTGCGCAGAGCCCGGGCTGTCTGCAAAGGTCAGTGAAGGTATTCTTCATTAACCGCACCGGTCCCGCTTTCCACTTTGCACTTGTTTCGTTTTTGGATTTTTTTGAGTGTGCAAAATTCTTGTTTTGACTCACACACCACCCACAACAACGAAACAATATGGGGGCTGTTTCTACGTCAAACAGTGCTTCAGCTGGTTAGCTAGCTCGAGTTAGCGTTTCTGTTGTGCAGAGAGAAAGACGAGACAAAAAGAAAGCAGTGAAGTCAGCAAGGATACGTTGCTCTCTGCCTCACATTTAGAGACTCTGTGGTCTGAACTGTTCGGAACTGTCGGAACTGAAACAGGCTCTGTGCAGGACACGGTTTTAAAACAGTGCGAAAGTCCTTTATTTGAATAACTTAGCTTGATTGGATTTAAAGGTTAAGGGGCAGCTGTAATCCACAATTTATTTCGCATATTCAGCACGTGCTTACATTTGGAAGGGGAACAAGTAAAAGTTGCAACCAATTAAACCTTGAAACCAATGCTCAATTTAAAAAATCTAAAATATATTGTTCAGATAAATTGATATTCTTTTTAAGTAGTTTTTTTTTTTCTTCTTTTTTTTATTTTTACCATTTGTATGTTTTACCACTGGGTTTTTCTTTGTGTTTTTCTTTTTTATTTTACTTTTCTTTGGCCAGTTTGATTCAATCAAGATTGTTCCCAACATTCAATAGATTTTCCTTTGGGGCGGGGGAGTTATACTATAAAATAAAACCTCATTCCCCTCAGTGTAAAATACTTTGGCGTCTAATCAATAGTTTTTGGGTATTTTCGTGGGAAAATACTTTTATTTTTTTTAAATAGATTTCTCATGCGTGAGGATTCAATGGCTTTCTTTGTTTTCTCCACATATATTTTATTACTAACACTTAAATGGCATGCTTGTGGGCTGTAGAAGTACAGTGGATGCTATCAGTCCTCAACAGGTAAAATACTGAACAATCAAATGCATCTAAAACAAAATCTCCCTCTCTATTTTCAAGCACCCACAAGCATTACCGGTATATTCCATTATGTTTAATAAAAAATATGCATATTTTATTAGATTATTATCAAATTAATCACTACTAACTTTTTTTTTTTTACTTATTTTTAGTATTGCGTATAAAATCCTTGTCACAGTAAACTGTGCGGAAATAAAATACAATATGCAACAAGTATTAGGGACAAAAATGGGGTTGTCATTGATGCCAATTGAAAACCAGGTATGGGTTGCCATGTTTTTTTATTTTTTTTAAGCAGGTAGTTGTGATCAAACTTTAAATAATTTAGTATAAACATGTCTTTTTCTTCTGGGGCAGGTTTAACAGTTTTACGGCAACAATTTTACTACAATTTTTGTACTTGAATTTGTTATGTGTGCATGTACTCTGCATACACACCGAATTGTCCTTGTTAGTGAGGTCAAAGCGTGACAGAGTAGTTTATAGCCAGCCAACCAGTCAGTTCTAGATTAAACCTTAAAATACCAGCCACCAACTCAGGTTGAGCCTGTTTTATTATCTCTATGTTGGGTAAACATGCTGTCTACTCCTCTGCTTGGGTCAGTGGGCTATGACTTAACTAAATGGTTGGTTGTGATTTTTATTTATTTATTTATTTATTTATTTGGCCATAGCATATGACTTAAAAATTAAATCCTAGCCCACCTTCTGAAGTTATTTGTCACAAACACAAAATATTAATTCTTGTCTGAAACTTGGTCTTGTTGTGAATAAGAATTGTTGGATAATTAAAGATCGCATTTCCGGATTTTTTTTTTCTGTACGTATCTGAGCATTTTTATGTTAAAAGTCAGCTGATTGCCTTAGAAAACATATTGATATGTTTACTTTTCTTGTCGGATCCATTCTTTCTGACCTCTAATCCCCTCCTCCCCTCCCTTTGTGTTTCTGCTGGTACACGTCTGCCGTGTCTCCTCTACAGGACAACTGCTGTCAGACCCATTAAGATCCTGCTGCAGTGCGAGTGTCAGGTGTGCGTGCACCATGGCGAGCCTCCTGCGCGTCGTGGTGTCCAGCTGCTCAGCCCCTGTCCTTGGGGGCGTCTCATCCGTGAAGGTTCAGACCAGCCCTGCTGTCAAATTAACATGTGTGCGGTTTTTTAGGACCCATCAAGCTCTCTGGCGGAGCGCAGGTCCAGGTAAGATGCTTTATTTTAAAACAATAAAATCCAACAGTTGGCACAAAGAAGTTAACATTAACCACATATGCAGTTTATAGCCTCGTGCTGATTATGTAATTCTTTAGTTATAACTCTGCTGAGGTCATGTCATCTTTGCTGTAATGAAAGTAAAAAAAACAGCAGTAGGTTTTGTACATTGTGCTTTAAAAGCTGCTCCTGGAATGTTTACATTCTTTCTAGGAGTAAATATGACTTTTATATGTCATCTGCAACCTCAGTAAAAACAACTGTTTCAAACATTCTGCTAGTTTGTCATAATTCAAAACAATGAAAGCTTTAACTGATAACATGAGTGTATTAATAGTCATAATAAAAGCAAAGCAAAGTTCTTGCTGCCTGTTTGTGCTATGAGTGACTTTTAGGTTTCTCTCCTGAACCAAGTCTCTCACAAACTACCCTTTAAATTTATCTAAGTTGGTAGCTAAAAGTAAAGATGGGACTCCTGGTTTATTAAATAAAACCAGCCTGTGTTAAGTCCATCTCGGTATAAATTTGCCTCCTACAGAATATAGAGAATGACTGCAGTGTGGCACAAGCTATGTACACCCTCCCCACAGTGACACATGGTGGTGGCAGCATCATGCTTTGTTAATTTCTTTTATTCAACAGAGATGCACGATTAATAGGAAAGAGGAGGCTGCAAAAGATTAGAATCTGAGATGCGGCATTTTCTTTCTTTTTTTATTTGTAAAAAATAGTAAAAGCCACTTCACTTTTATAGACGCAATAAAGATTGTGGTTTAATGTGGCAGTGAATATTTAGAGCTCACTCACTGCTTCACACACTTGAAAGCAACACCAAATGAAGCTTTTGTTGACGTTCTAATTAGAATGCTTTTCTGCTGCAGTGCTTTAATTTAATTTTAGCCCTGGCTCTCATGTAACTTGATAAATCTACAATAGCTTGCAACCTCTTTAATTTTTTGTTGTTGTTTTTAAGTGTGTTGCCAAAATAGAGGTATATAAGACCAGAGGACAATTTTCCCTTTCAAATGGAGAGTGCCATAGGAAGTGTTACCTGTTTTATCTTTGTGCTTCAACATACTTTGAAGGACACAGCTGCCATTAATCTCAACTAGCTAGGAAGTGTTTAAACCAGTGATGGCTGGCTCAAGGAGCTTAACGTCTGAGTACGCTTGTTTTTCCTGGTCTGTGGTGACAGAGATTGACATTCCTAAAGTTCAGACAGCTCCAGTAGCAGCTGGCAACTTCTTTCACAACCACAAACAAATCTTTTTAATGTAAGTAGCGACCTCTTGTGTTTAAATGACCTAGCTTTGACCTCTATGGATTCGTATACAGGAATAATAAAAAGCACATCCAAAATAATTATATCTTTAACCTCAATCATACAGATTTAAAATCTCCTCCAGTTTTTCGTTGTTGAGGTGGGTCATTATTGAAGAACGAGAAAGGAAAAAAGAAACGTATCACACTTGTGTTTATGTAAAGAGAAAGCAAAGGGAAAGAAAAGGTGTGAGGTGGAATTTTCCATTGCAGTTAATGCAACACATGACCTGCTTCTTGCTTGAAAAGCAGACCTGAAGATTCAGAAATGGATTCTAAGATGGCCCCTCAGTTTGCCTTTGTTTTTATATCAGTTTAAAAATGTAGTTTCAGGGTATTTAGCCCAAATGTATTCATACCCCTGAGGAGATTTGGATTAGGAAATATTTTTTTATCAGCCAAGAAGTGTGATTCTAATAGAAAGAGGGAAAGGAGCTCTGCAGCAAGTTAACCAAAGATTTTATAATTAGGGTATGACAAAAAATATTTTCCTATAAAAGTTCAGCCTAAGTTTTAATATCCTTCATAATAATAAATGGGGAAAAAATAAGCATTGGTTTTCCTGCTGTTGTATAGCTGCTCATTATTTGTTTGTCTTTTTTTTTATGATATTTTCACAATTTGTCTGTGGTGACAATTCTGATCCTCTTCCATTTCCCCAAAATCTTCTCCACTGATACCGATAGATTTGAGTTGGGAGAATTATACCAAAACCGTAATGTTGCGTTCAGTTGGAAGAAAAATGCGCCAAAATGGTTATATTGTATATTTATTTTCATAAATTTATTGGGTTAAAATGGGTGTGACTAATTTTGTCCATAACTATACTGTACACTAGCCTGACGTAGTCCTACTCAATTCTAGTCAGAATATGAGTCTGATACTGCTCCATAGAGCTGTGA